CTTAGGTTCCGTATAATCATCTACCTAACACTTTGTAATGTTTTATGTTTTGGGAACTTTAAAATTTCTGCCTGTTTGCATTGGAATCTGAAAAAAAATACAGCAGGATTGAACTGCCATGTGCTCTGCTCTTGACTTTCACTCAGAGTGCTCACATGCCCATGATCGATGCCCTGATGATGGCTTACACAGTGGAGATGATCAGCATAGAGAAAGTGGTGGCCTCTGTCAAGCGCTTCTCTACCTTCAGTGCCTCTAAGGAGCTGCCCTTTGACCTGGAGGATGCTATGGTTTTCTGGATCAACAAGGTATAGACACTCATGACCCAGATAAGACACACAGCAGGATATTATCATCATTATTATTAAACTCTTTCACAACAAATCTTGTTTAGGCTTTTTATCCTCTAAAATCCAGCTGGCTTTATTCCTGGGGCTCTGAATAAAGTGGTCCACTTATGTCATTGATGATTGGATATAGTCCAATAGACAGGAGTCTAGGTCTGTTACACGCACAGACTCAAGTTCATGTTGTAGTTGTCTTTTGAAAGAACATTGTCAGTCTATGGGAGATGGGGGATATAGTCCTAAAATATTTTTTCCACATTAATCTGCCAGAATGCACATTTTGTTTTTATCATCTTGGAAATTTTAATCTAATTATTCTGATATTAACTGTGATATAAATCTCTTTATTCATGAGACTAAGAATATGTTCTTTAGTCTACTAGCGCAATATTTAAATGGTTTACATTTTTTTTGGATTAAATTTCAGAAAAGCAATTTGTTCTAACATTGTCAAGTTTGCGTCAAGAAAATTCTGACCTGATTAGCAATTTCTCACTAGGCAGTTGTTTAATTTTGCTCCAAATGCCTCACTAACTAACTGCTATATCCAGAAAGCTCTTCTCTAAGGTTACTGGCCACTATTAGCATGAAACTTATCGCAAAAAAGTATATGGCAACCTCTTTGCAAATGTTTTGTCCCTAGCAGATTGCCGTGGTTATCTATCATTTGTACGGATTACTTACCAAGCTGTTGTGAATTTGTGAAAAGTGCACCGCATACCTGAAACTGAAACAAGTTGCTTTCAAAGTGAAATGTTTTGGTTATAGGCTGGGGTGCAACTTTTATTTTGAAAGTGAATGTTTTGTTTCTGCCTTGCATCACACTTTTTCAAATTTCACTACAGATGTCATTCAAGCAAACTACAGGCAAGCATAGAAATCTATTTGCAATCAAAATATCCACAAGGAGGTTTTTGTTGCTACATCCTCTTTGTCAATGATTTCATCCACTGTCAGCCAGCAACTCGCGGGAACAATTTTCCAAACAGTAGCTTAATATGCAGTTTCCATTTGCATTCAGTGGTCGCCAGATAGTTGCTAACCAGTTCCTAGCCCTCTATTACCATTCAGTAGTGTGGTTTATTGACTCCATGCAAACATACTAATAATTGTTTTGTTATTCTTTTTTTCTTCTTCTGCAGGTAAACATGAAGATGAGGGAGATTGCAGAAAGGGAGCACAAAGTCAAGCACCACCCACTGGAGTCCCCTAGCCATCAAAAGGTAAAGCCACTCAAAAATAGGTTCCTTTATTAGAAATCTCCATGTCTTATCCAGGTGTGTCAAGCAATCACTTGTTTCAAAACAGCAACAGCATCCTTAGCGCTCACATGAATGTTTCTCCCTAATGGCGTTTTGATGTTGTTCTGACCTTCCTCTACTCTTATCTGTTTAAACTGGAAGCAGATCCAATCCTTTTGTCTCTGACCTCTGACGTGTTAATCTTTCTGCTCCTGTTCCTCATCTGTCCCTCCTTCCCCCTTCTCTTATCCCTGCAAACTGGATAGTCTCCCTCCAAATGGTATTGGAAGCTAGTCCCTGTAAGTTGGATGCCAGGCCCCATAACCCCATTTTCTTCCCCCTCTGCCCTTTGCACGCATAGTTCTGTGTTGATGTGTGCGCACACTCCTCCATGGCTCATTCAAGCTCATTACGTGCTACATGTAGCCAGCGTGTCAGCAGGGGGGAGAAGGCTGACAGCTAGTTTGTTTCTTTTTTTCCCCCTTGTGGCAAATATGTCACTAAGGTGTAAGGTTATTCTAACCTTTGTGTCCAAACTTTTTTTTCCCTCTAAGCTATGCAGTGTGTGCTACCTCATTTCAAGCTCAAGTAGGCCATGTGGATTCTCTGTGCGCAGATGTGTGTGGTATTTGCTTGCCTAGTGAGAATACGAGAAAAATCCATGCCTACACCTCTCCTTTGCTTTGCAGACCCATTACTGGCCACATTCTCTCACTGATCTGCTTTGTCATTCTCCCTCCAGTTTCTCTCTTCCGCTCTCACGCACTGTTTTCCTATATGCCCACAATCTCCTGACAGTATCTCTGCTCTGTGTATCAGCCTGATGTCATGCACGAGCTGGCCCACTGCATGCTGGGGCCAGAGGAACTCTCCGAAGCGGTACAGTGATCCCTCCTAGTCAGGAGACTCACTAACGTAGAACGTGTCCTGTAGTACAGCTTCTTGTTTGGTTGTTAGTTTCACCCGTGACTTGTGACAACAACTGCCCCAGCATAGTTTTGTGGAATACCCTCCATGAGCGAGATTAAAGTTCATTTTAAGCTGTTTTATGCTGATTACATTTTTTTTTTTTTTTTTTTGGTTGTGTTTTATTTACTCTAAGTAGTGCCTAGAATCTCTGGACTTGAATTTGGATTTAAACTATATATATTTCTGAGAATTCAAGCAATGTTGGATTTTCTGAATTCTAATGGAATATATTTTAAATTAATTAGGCAAAGCTATACAGTATAAAGTTGGCTGTTTTGGTGAAGGCTGTTAGTAGGGCTGTTCGATATAACGATATATATCGGATGACGATATAAAAACGTCTATCGTTTCATTTTACGCTATCGTTTGTTTCGTGGTGTCGCAAAATAAACTGTTTACGGCAATATTTTTTCATCGTTTTGATGGTCACTGTAGTGGCTATATTAATTTCTTAAAGTTCTCTCTTTCTCTTATATTTAATATAACCACACTACGACGGACAAGCGCCTGTTTTTATGCGTTGTCGTTAGCAACAACGACGGTAAAACCATCGCGTGTCCGCTTGTTTATTTTCCACATAAACCTTTCACAATAAAGCTCAAGATCCTGTTGAGACTTTTCAAAATAAACTGAATCACGTGAAAAGTATGCAGATATTTACGGATGAGAAGCAAAAAAAGAGCCTCAGGTGCTAAAAAATAAAAAAACGGCGGCCTTTACAACTTATGTCTAAAAATATATAGTTTCATGCATCAGTTAAAACACTCGACTCCAGGTACACTACAGCCAGCTGGAAACACTTCCCGCAAGTCGAGCTGCCCGAGATTCACAGAATTTACAGAAAATGTTACATTTTTGTGATTTATATCGTTATCGGGACGATAGAATTCTTATATCGGGATATGAGATTTTGGTCATATCGCACAGCCCTAGTTGTTAGTATAACTAAAGCACTATGCTTGTTTATTTATGTCTGTGAAATTTAATATTATATCTGGAAAAGGTTATAGCTTCAGTTTTGCTCACTAAATTAAGCGGCATTTGCAGGACATGTGTACACACATGTGCACATAGGATGATGATGATGATGATGATAATAATAATAATAATAATAATAATAATAATAATCACCTTCCAGTTCTAGTTTTCCCTGTTCTAGTTTGCAGAGTTGACCTCTTCCTAACATGGAGGTAAATGTAGCACTACAAGTTAGTACATTGTACTTGGGCCTTCTGTCAGGTCTGGATGTATGTGATTTCATTTTTAGCTTCTAAAATGGGTGTGCATTTGTCTGTTTCATTTAATTAACTTGTTGCTATTCAATTTCCTCAGTGAGTTCCTGAAATGATTACCAGCTTCAAAGAGTAGGCATTCAAATAAATGTGACTTGGGAGGCTGAATTTCTGTATTAATGATACACATGTTTCACAAAAAGTGAGCCAGTGATTAAAGCTGTTGACATTTGGGTCAGCTGGTTCGTGTTACCTGGTTTCACTGGTTTTCACCGCTGGTGGTCTGCTTGTCATTAAAGTCAATGGAAAACTGATCTTTTACTCTGTGCTCTTCATGTCACTGCTCTTTAACACCTTCACCTTCACCTTCTCACAGTTAACCAGGTCTCAAGGATTCTCCCTCGATTGGGCGATCATGGTGCCTCTGGGGCTTTTGTCATTCGGAACCATCTTTAACAGACTTCACTAAACGTGCTGTTGATCAATTTAAATGAAGCCTTTAACTGGTGCTTTCATTACAAATGCCATTTTACTGTGAAACCACTGGGGAGAACCTTGATCTGATGCTTAAATTAGTTCTAACATTAACTGGAAGAAAAACTTACACATCAGATGTTACGGTGATGTGAAAGAGATTTGTATTTGTGATATTAGTCACTCCATGTAGGATGTTTTGTGACGTGCCACTTGACTGGTAGTTCCAGGGATGTGTGTTGTGGCTTATCTTCTCATAAAACCCTGATTCTCTCCCCCTGGTGGTTAGGTACGGTATCGTCGGGAACATGCTTCCGGTCGACAGCTGCCCTTCTTTCCATTGCTGGAAGATCTGATGAGGGATGTTTGTGATGGAGCTGCACTGCTCACTGTAGTCCATTACTACTGCTCTGATCTCATGAAGCTGGAAGGTATGATGCTCTTGCCTGTGCGTTTTCTTTCTCTGTCTCCCGAACACACACACACACGTTCACTACCTACATCTCACAAATCACTCTCAAATAATATTTTTCTATAGGGGCCAATAGACTTGCTCTACTTACATGCTCAATTTAATAACTGTGTGATGCTATTTTTGTCACTTGCTCATACTTACTGTCACTGTCCAGTCAGTGAGACATTTATAGCCATCATGTCATCAAGTTGTCCTGATCTGACCTGCTCTCTGTGCACCTGATTAGATATTTGCCTGAAGGAAGTCCCTTCTATCGCTGATAGCCTGTACAACATCCAGCTCCTCAGAGAATTTGCCAATGAGTACCTGAATAAAAGTTTCTATCTGACAACAGAGGACATGCTCTATTCACCGCCTGTGCTCAAGGTACAAAAAACTGTCAGATATTTGTACTGCAGAGTGAATTTTAAGTATTATAACGTGCCATCTGCTCTTTGTGTAGCACAATGTGATGGTGTTCATCGCTGAGCTGTTTTGGTGGTTTGAGACAGTAAAGCCAGAGTTTGTCCAGCCCAGAGACCTCCAGGAGTTTAAAGATCGTAAGTATTACAGTAGATTAAGTGAAGATTATTAAACTATTAAAGCCTATTAGAGAAGGAAGCATGCATATGTGGTGAATTACATTGTAGTGTTTCGTGGTCTCCCATGGTTAGGGCTGTGCGATATGACCAAAATCTCATATCCCGATATAAGAATTCTATCGTCCCGATAACGATATAAATCACAAAAATGTAACATTTTCTGTAAATTCTGTGAATCTCGGGCAGCTCGTCTTGCGGGAAGTGTTTCCAGCTGCGCGTCATGTAGCTGGAGTCGAGTGTTTTAACCGATGCATGAAACGATACATTTTTAGACATAAGTTGTAAAGGCCGCCGTTTTCTTTGTGAGTATTTATTACACGGCGTGCTGCGGGGAAAAGCCTGTTCTAACGTTTGAGTCTAAGGTTTATTTTTTAGCACCTGGCGGCTCTTTTTTATTCTCATCCGTAAATAATCTGCTCTTTCACGTGATTCAGTTTATTTTGAAAAGTCTCAACAGGATCTTGAGCTTTATTGTGAAAGGTTTATGTGGAACATAAACAAGCGGACACGCGATGCTGTTACCGTCGTTGTTGCTAACACAACGCATAAAAACAGGCGCTTGTCCGTCCTTAGTGTGGTTATATTAAATATAAGAGAAAGAGAGAACTTTAAAAATTAATATAGCCACTACAGTGACCATCAAAACGATGAAAAAATATTGCCGTAAACAGTTTATTTTGCGACACCACGAAACAAACAATAGCGTAAAATGAAACGATAGACGTTTCATCCGGTGTATATCGTTATATCGAACAGCCCTACCCATGGTCACAAAAATTGTATGGTACGCTGGTGTATCTTGAAATAAAACCTCTGGTCCAACCCTACAGAGTGCTCTGTGTCCTTAGAACTAAAGCTCAGTTGTTTTCCCAAGTACAGCTAGTTTAGTCATCCTCATCATTAATAGTCAGTTGTCAAGACCTTTGCCCTTGTCCTTTACTCAGCTCGAGCCATAGCTCATCCCAAGAGTGCCCGTCCATCAGTGCCCATCTCCAACGCCACCAAGCGAAGCTTCCTAGCTAGTCCTGGTATGGCCGACAACCAGAGCAGCCCTGAAGTCTGTAACAGGTACTTCCTGCACCCTGAAGACTCTGACCCCCTGTAAGTCTTTTCTCACTTTCCTTCTCATTCCACTTCATCATGATCCCGTCGTCTAAACAGTTACAATAGACCCACAAGGATGGGTAGATATGCAGGGATGGCTGTGTTTCGCTCTCATGTGTCCTTCACATCTAACCCTGTGTCTGATCACTTGTGTTAAGATGACCTTGTGCATGTTGTTGGACCTTGATTGTCTGTTATGTGGTAAAATACTGGGCTTTTCTAGTGAATATGCTAAAATATAATGAGATGTATCAGATTGGTTTAAAGTGGGTTTGGGTCCTATTGTCTGTACGATAAGATCCAAAACACACAAAACTAAGCTGTTCATAAATTTTCTGCCAACCTCTTGTCTCTTATTTTTGGTTGTAGTAAAGGGGGCCCAACTTTCAGTCCTTCACACCCACTTCTGCCGCTGCGACAGAGACAACAAAAGCAACAAGGAGACGATGCGGGTAAGATGAATCTTGATTTTATTTTTTTAAACACACATGCATTACCTGTATAGTAGGATTTAATAGTTCGGATTTAAGTCATGCCGACTTAAATCTGCACCTGTGTATTCCTGGGTAGGTTTGAGAAACCGCTCGAACTCCTTGACTCAGATGGACGGACAACAAGTCAGAGGCTCTGTAGTAGCATGGCCCGACAAGAGGCAGAGGTACTTGGAATAATTGCACTTTTAATCTAAAATAAAAGGCTTTCTTCATACAGCTAGTTGTGATTAACTTGTTTATGTGACCAGTGTAGGTCTTAACTGTGTAAGTAAGGCAAAAAATGAATAAAATTTTAAATTCTGTAAGGACTATTTATATTGTGCATATAGTACAGACTTTACAGCTGAGGTTATTCTCATGATCTCTTTCTGCAGACCAGTGTCCACAATGGGCCCTTATCTGTTGCACTCAGCCACCGACAGTGATGCAGACATAGCTTCTGGTGACAGCGTTAGTCTGGCTCGCTCAATTAGTAAGGACAGCCTGGCATCCAATGTCATCAATGTCACTCCCAAACACCAGACTTCTGTACACCAGCCATCACGTCCTCCAGTACGTAGAGTCAACGGCCACAGCCTTCTGACTAATGTCAATACGGAGGATGAGGAAGAAACTCTGGTGACCGTAGCCAAGAGCGATGGTCCTGCCATCTCCAAACGGGTTGAGGGGACACAATCAGCTGCTGTAATTGGATCCAAACCTTCCACTGACTCAAAATTGACACCAGATAGCTTTTACCTTGAACCACTAATGCCTGCCGTGCTCAAAACGGCTAAAGAGAAGTCTGTATGCCTAAACAAGGAGGAGGAGAGTGGTGAAGTGTCCCGGTCTGCAGGAAGGGGCTCTTTACACAGAGAAAATGGATCTACATCTGCTGTTCGCAGGAAAGCTCCCTCCAATCTGAACCAAACATTTCCTCCTCCAGCTGAGGAAGGCTTGTCAGATGAGCCTGTTCAAAGTCAGGCAAGTCTCAGGCTAACTGTCAGCAGCAGTGTGGAACCTTCCTCCAGGGACCCAGCTGAGGGTTTCTACTTGCATTCAGATTCTGAAGAACTAAAGCCTGGCAATGGTCAGGACGGTGACCTAGGGGACCTGGATGAGGAGGAAGAGGATTTGGATGAAGCCGCAACCACTAAAGAAACACTCTGGCCCAGGAAAGCCTTCAACGAGGAGGAAGAAGAATCAGCCAAACTCCAAGAAGACATGAATGTGAAAGAGCATGAAGACAAAGATATTAATGGTGGCAGCGGTCGTTCCAGCCCCTGTCTCAGCACACACTCCCAGGCCAGCAGCATGGCCAGTGGCAGCGTGCGCATGACCTCTTTTGCTGAGCGTAAAGCTCAGCAGCAGCGCTTTGGCAGCAACCATGACCTGCGCTCCAGTGCCTCCAGTTCCCAGAGGACCACTCCAGATGGATCAGAGTGCAGTGGCCCCCTGGCTTCCTCATGGAGGATTAAGAGGGACCAGAGCCCCTCTTCCCCCTTGGGAGGATCCTCTCGTACAGGCAGTGGCGGTGCAAATGTATTGGCTTCTGAACTGGTCCAGCTCAGAATGCAGCTGGAAGAGAAGCGGCGTGCCATTGAGCATCAGAAGAAGAAGATGGAAGTACTGTCAGCGAGACAGAGACAGAAGCTGGGAAAAGCAGCCTTTCTGCATATAGTAAAGAAAGGTGGAGGAAGGAGTGACACATTACCCAACCCGCTTAAAGCTGACATCTCTAAAGATGAGCTCAATGGGGAGAAAGGACCATCAAGTAAAGATGATATGTGTGTTGATACCATGAGAGGGGAGAAGGAAGTGGATGAGACCACCCCGTCTGGTGCCTTAGAAGCAGAAAAGAAAGGAAACGGTGGAAGCTTCTATCTGGATGAAGATTTGGACCTGAATGAGTGCAGTCGCTCTATCGAGCTGCTAAATGAAGCTATTGGCAGCATCCAGCAACAAATGATGCAGCTTTCACTGCAGCAGGAGATGTTGATGAAACAGAATGTACAGTCCCCACCTGGTGCAGCTCCACCTCCTGCTCAAACCAGCGACAAAAACGGAGATTCCAAGACTGGAGCAGGCTTTCACTTTGTGGAGCATCTTTCTGGCACTAGCACCGCTCCAACCAGGAAACCCCCCAAACTAAGCTCTGGCCGAAGCGCCAGATCCAAACCATCAGAGCTAAAGATGGCCAAGGAGCAGAGCCGCCAGACCACCAGGACCCTCACACCCACCCAGAGTGGATCAGAGACATTGCCACACCCAAAGCATTCAGCTGGGGGCAGGTCCCCCAGGACTGAGCAGCCCGACAGTCCCAGAAACACCACAGTAGTGGAGACAGTTGACAAGCCAGGATCTGGCCACGTTCGGAGTGCCACCTTCCGACTTCATGATGAAGCAAACATTCGCTTGCCGACCAGAGTGGACCTGACATCACTGGCTCCTCCAGAAGTGTCCTTTGATGAGTGCCTGTCCAGCAACACCAGAGAGTCTGAGCTCAACTCTTCAGACAGTTCAGGGAAAGAGAATATACCATCAGATGAGGCGCAACGCAACAAAACCCACCTCATTGAGGTTGATCTGTCAGAGCTGAAGGCACCTGAAGAAGAAGAAGAAGAAGAAGAAGAGGGGGGTGTTGAGGACAAAACAACAGAGAGAGATGATGGAGAGCAGAAGTCAGTCCTGGGCTTCTTCTTCAAGGTAAAAATCAATAACAGGCATCCTCAAGTGTCTATTAATTCCCTAATACACTCTTTCAATTATAAATGATTAACATAAACAGTTTTTCACATTGACACACATTTTATAATTTCATATTTTGCTGATTAAAAAAAATATTTGAAATGCAAATTATATTTATTCGTATTTATACTTTGAATTTGTAATCTTTTGCTTGTTTTTGTTTGGCCAAATGGAAAAAGTGATTCTAATTATTAAATAACCAGATTGCATAGTTTTCAGTTTTGATGTTTAACCACATTTGTTATTATTTGCAGATTTAATACATTGTTCTATTATATTTTTCCATGTTCTAGGATGAGCAGAAAGCAGAGGATGAGCTCGCTAAGAAGAGAGCAGCGTTTTTGCTGAAGCAGCAGAAGAAAGCAGAGGAGGCTCGACTACGTAAACAACAACTAGAGGCCGAATCTGAGCTCAAACGTGATGAAGCCAGGTACATTATTTTCACACTGACATCGATTTCCAATTTATTTGTTAGGAAAATTACTAAAATTCCAGTGTTTGGTGCCAACACTAGGCGGAAAGCCGAGGAGGATCGTTTGCGTAAAGAGGAGGAGAAGACACGGCGAGAGCTGATAAAGCAAGAGTATCTGCGGAGGAAGCAACAAGAGATGTTTGAGGAACAAGGCCTTGTGAAGCCCAAAACTCCCAAACCGAAGCAGAAGCACAGACCCAAGTCTGTCCTCAGAGAGGAATCCTCCAGCGATAATTTCTCCAAGTGCTCTTCTACAGGTAAGACTGTTACATCACCACTTTGACATTTAGCTAAAAATCAGTTTTTCTGTAAATGTCACAGCATGGTGCGCTTCATTTGTTTTTCCAGCTGAGCTGTGGGGTACATTGACTGACTGTGGGCTATTTTTTATTTTATTTTATTTTTTGCTAATAATTATATGTTCCACACTTACTGTTTATGACACTGATATTATTGGATTTTTAGAGTATTGAGACATTTTGGTTCTCAGGCTGATTTTAAAATTTCATTTTTATGCACAGTCTAGAACCAAAACTCAGAAGGGTTGAAGCTGAGTGGTTTTTGGAGGGCTTTTGTTCAAAATAAAAGACTGAATTACCCAGTAAGTTTTCAGATAAAACTTAACTTAGTTCTCATTTAAAACACTATTGATAGAAATGACAACCTTGAGTTTGGCATACTTTTTTTTTTTTTTTTAAGTTTCTCTCATCCTGATTGGCCGATTCATTTAAGCTCACGCAGGCCTTTTCCCAAACACTTTAGACTACAGGCCACATTTAACCATACGTTTGGGCTTTATTCTATACACGTTAGCACCTCCTGTATGTCTTTGGACTGATGTAGCCTACACCTTGTTTGATTGTAGCGTTACAAATAAGTGTGTATATCTGGAACTGGATCAGAAAGTTCAATATTCATTTCATCAGATATGATGAAACAGTTTCTCATGGTCTGTGAGTCATCAAAGTACTTTTTGGCAAAGTCCCACCATTTCGTTAGGTCACTTGACCCTGATGGCCCCCTCTAACAGAGTATGGAGATGGTGAGACCATGGCTCTTGTCCCAAACTACTGAGATCTAGGAAAAAACAAGCTAAAGAGCTCTTCTCCCTATATCATCTATAAAAGTGTTGGTTTTTACTGAAACAAAGACCTTCTTAGAATCTGGTAATGGACTCATTATTCAGTATTGATAAAATATTGTAATTACATTTAAATGGGAAACAAAAACAACCAAACTTTTCCTACATTTTTCAAATGGTCTCTTTTGTTTTACATAGCTGACAAACTGAGTAACGCCCAGTCAGGCTCCAATCTGTCTCTCGCATCTGCCGCTACCAACGAGGCCGACAGCGTAAACTCTGGAGGTGCAGGCTCCCAGCGGTAAATTTCCCAGACTCTTTCTTTCATGTGTTTACTGTTTGTAAGAATTTGTTATATTATGCAAGTTTAGGATTTGCTGTCTATATTCAAATTGTTTTGTTACCCAAGAAGCCCTCTGTCATGATTATTGATCCACCCATTCATGTGCCATTGTGTCCAGCTGTGACTCTGTGGAGTCATTTCCAGGCAGTCGGAACAGTCGAGCTGCAGAGAGAGACTGGGACAACGGCTCCACCGCCTCTTCCATCACTTCCATGGCTGAATATACTGGCAAGTTTTTCTGTGATCTGTGATCAGTCTTTACTATGACTACAAATCTTTTATAGTTATTCATTGATTAGTGATAAACAGATCAATATATCAGTCTCGGAACATTTAAAATGATATGTGAATATCGCTGTTTTGGTCACTATATTTTTTTTCTGAACATACTAAGGAGATTTTTATTGGTCAGAAGCAACTGACACCTACTGTAGGTGTCGTAGCTGTAGTTAAATTTGCAGTCATCAGACTTAGTCCTCTGTTACATTTTCATGGCTTTTCTTCTGTAGGCCCAAAACTCTTCAAGGAGCCCAGTGCCAAGTCAAACAAGCCAATCATCCATAATGCAATCTCTCACTGCTGCCTGGCTGGCAAAGTCAACGAGCCCCAGAAGAACCAGATCCTAGAGGTTAGTGTGGGGTGGTATCAGCATGTTGTATAGTATTTCTAAAGATGCTGGTGGGATTTTGTTTGGTTTTGTTTGTCTGTTTGTTTTTTGGTGTGTGAGGAATGGACAGGAATCTGACTGTAGGGATCTTGTAAACGCCTTCAGTGACTGGAGTCAGAAAAACTACCTCATATTAAACACCTCTAAGAAGAAATGGTAAATGGCCTGTATTTGTATAGCGCTTTACTTGGTCCCTAAGGACCCCAAAGCGCTTTACACAACCAGTCATCCACACATTCACACACTGGTGATGGCAAGCTACATTGTAGCCACAGCCGCCCTGGGGCGCACTGACAGAGGCGAGGCTGCCGGACACTGGCGCCACTGGGCTCTCTGACCGCAAGTGTCTTGCCTAAGGACACAACAACCGAGACTGTCGGAGCCAGTGCTCAGACCGGCAACCTTCCGATTACAAGACTAACTGCTAACTCTTCAGCCACGATTGCCGAAGGAAAAGATAGTAGATTTAGGAAGGTTAGGGCTCCCTCTCCAGCCTGTAAAAGTTTGTGGGGTGGACAAAGGGGTTGTAACAAAATATAAATACTTAGGTTTACACCTAGTAATAAACTGGACTGGTCCCTGAATACAGATGAACTGTACAAAAAGGGGAAAAGCTGCCTCTTTTTGTTAAGAATACTAAGATTTCCTAACATCTGCAGTAAATTGCTGCAAATCTCCTATCATTCCGAGGCTGGGGGAGGCAGCATCAGAAACAAGGATGCAAGAAGACTGGACAAACTAATGAGAAAAGCTGGCTCTGTAATTGGAGCCTGACTGGACACGCTGGGGGAAGTGATGGAAAGATGCACAATAAAGACGTTAGTAGCCATGTTGAACAACTCTGCTCGCCCACTTTATGGAACAAAAATGCATCAGTACTGGAAGACATCAGGCTATTTAGTCTCATACAAATAGCAAATGAGCCATGTCAGATGTATGAATTTCCCTCTGGGATCAATAAAATAATTCTTATTCTTAACATGGCTACAAGGACCAATTCAGTCCTTAGCAATCTACTTTTTGTGGTACTAGATGCACGTTCACTACCTGAGATGTGTGTTAAATGAACTTCTGGGATCTTCTGGAATTAAGTGATCCAAAGGTTCCTGCATTCAGAATATGAATATTTTGATGTAATTTATACACTCGTTTTTCTTAAACTATTTTTGTTTTCTTTTTGGGATCACAAAAGTAACATTGGCACTTCTATCTTGGAAGCATGATCAATTTCTTTTTTCATAATCAGTGACAGCACGTCATGCAAAAGTTGGTGAAAGTTGTGTCTTTAAAGAATGTTGTCTTAAAATTACCCAGGAGTTATATCTCCTTGTAATCCCCCTCCCTTCCCCTACCCCACTAGGAGCTGGAGAAGTGTGAGTCCAACCACCTCATGATCCTGTTTCGTGACGGTGGTTGCCAGTTTCGGGCACTCTACTCGTACTTCCCCGACACCGAAGAGATACAAAAGCTGACGGGCACCGGACCCAAGAGCATCAGCAAGAAGATGATTGATAAGCTGTACAAGTACAGCTCGGATCGAAAGCAGTTTACCGTCATCCCTGCCAAGACTGTGTCAGTCAGCGTGGACGCCCTGACCATCCACAACCACCTGTGGCAGGCCAAGAGAAGCGCTGTGCCAAAGAAAAGTGGAAAATAGCAGGCAGGATTTGGAAACACACCTTCATCCACTTCATCCTATCCTCACACTGCTTGTTTTCTGACTGCAATGACGCCCCAAAGCTCGGGATGGAAACCTACACGGGAGAGAGGCCACTATGGACATGCGGTCATCTGTAGGTGGACCGAGGCAGAAACAAAGGTGTGTGTGTGTGTGTGTGTCTGGTGCTTGCGATGTGAGAGGGAATGCCAGCTCAGTTTGCTTCTTCTTCCTGTGATGTCGGTGGGATCTGTTCAGGTTCATTTTGAGTCCGCCTGATTACTTTTTCTCTACTTTTTTTCAACAACAACCATGACTCAAGCATGTGGCATTTCCCCCCCCCCTCATATGTGGTGGATGTTCATTTTTACATGAAGTATTTATTAGTTCAGCACTGTCATGGTTGAGAGCTCAGCTGCAGCACTAAAAATCCTTCCTTCTCTCCAGAAATGCCTCTTCTTTTGGACAAATTTGGACACAAAAGGGGGTGGGGACATCGGGGTGGGCTGGGGGGGGGTTTATGTCGCTCTTTTCAGAAAATCGGAAACAAGGGAACTTTGTACAACCCTTTAGGACTACACTGCTGTCACAACTACAGTTTCTCCCCGTGTGGACTGTCGAATCTGTCGAATCAGGCTGGCATTACCAATTTTGCCTCACCAGGGATCTCCAGAAAACCTGCTGCTCTGAACTGTCTTCTTCTTTAGTCACGGGGGAGCTCCTTGGGTATCCCTCAGACATCCGTTGGCCTTTCACGCATCGTGGTACTATCGTCTATTTATTCAGCCGCTTTTTAAACTAGATGCTGATCGTGTAGCACTGGATATGTGTATTGCAAAGAAAAAAGGCAAAAAATAACGATGGTCATTTTAAAGAATTTTATTTGTCAAAACATCCTTTTTGATTTTTAGGATGAATGATAGGCTTTGGTACAAAATGATGCTTTTTGATGTTTTGTTTTGTTTTTTTTTGTTTTTTTAGCACTTTTTTTGTTTTTTGTTTTTTAATTTATCAATTAAGCAATGTGGAATAGAGTTTAAGCTGATGTTATGTCTTTTCATCATAACAGGAATTCTCTGATGTTTAGAGCTTAGTTGTGTTTTCTCTCTCCACTGGACACTACTTAAACTGTCCTGTACAAAGGTGCACTCATGAACACTTGTCGACGGCTTATTTCATGCAATGTAACTCCCCTCAAAGCCTTTTCTTCCCTCCCCAAGTGTTTCTGTCAGCCTGTCCCATCTTAAATCGCAGCAGCGGCTCGCGCACTCTTGTTGTGAAGAGTACCTCCGCGCTGCCCTGTAACCTGTTCGAATGACAGTATTTGATATATTCACTACGGAGGGGAGGGTCTCTGTGTGTGGGAGGGGTGGTTGGTGGGAGGGAGGGGGGGGGGCTGTGGTTCAGTTATGTACCAACATTAAAGAACATTCCTCCAAGGTGTTGACAAAACACTGCCACGTCGTCTCTCTTCTTCTCTCTGTCTTTTTCAAAACTCAAAGTGCTTTTTTTGTGTGTTTTTTAGAAACCATATGTTGGCCTCCAGAACAACCCCAAGCGTTGCACGAGCACTTTACTTTCTGCTTGTTGAGGGGATTTTACCTTTTGAATGGGCATAAAAACTAAGAATTAATAAGACTGCTGTTTGTGCGCTCCGGGAAAATAATGAATATAATTGTGGAAACTAAACTAAACGCTAAGATTTAACACTGACAATTAAAGCCGAAGGGCCGTCACTGACATGATACTACTGCTGTCTCCAAAAAAAACTGTGGAATACTTGATTTCTCTCTTGCTGCATGGTGTTTTTGGGGAGGTTGGGTGGCAGAGGTGGTCGATCGTTAATTGTACAGTAGTGTATTTTCATGTTACCTAAAAGATTGTACTGGCATTGGTCACCGTATTTTTTTTTTTTTTGTTACACATGTACTTTTCATCCTTGTTGATTTTTATCTTTGATCCCATGCCATCTATTTATTTTAAAATGGAAGCACTGAAACAGAATACATTTTCAAGTAAATAAAAGTCACATTTTTCATTTCGATTTTCTCATGGCTTCATTTATCCATTTAGATTCACTGCTTTCCGTTGCTGCTGTTTGACACCATGTTGATTAACAAAACATCACAACTTTTTGTTTGCAATTGTCACACTTTTTTTTTTCTCGAGTAGCAAGTCTGCATCTTTTCACTGAAACACACTTTGTCCTATTAATGAATGAAAGCTAACAAGACAGAAAAAGTGTTCCCAGAATGACAGGTTTCTAATTTAAACTGGACTTTACCTCACTTTAAAAATAATCGGTGTTTATCTTGATGCATCTCTTTAGTTCATTCAACATGATTCAGGTTTAAACAGCAGGAGGGTTTTGTTTCCTGACATCATGAGAGGGGCAAGCAGAAGGAACTCATTAATGGCTGGCAAATAAAGCCCACACTTTTAATAGAAATTACTCCAACTTCTGCTCAGTAGGGATCAGAGGTTTTGCTCCTTCTCAAAAAGCACCAAAGCAGAACTGCCTCTGCATGAGCACCGCTTTGGTGTGAATGAGGTGATGGATGGATGAACCTTTGGGCATGTATATTCAATATTATTCAACATTGTTATGAAGTTGTAGCAAAAGCCTTAGGTCCATTCAAAACTCCACAGCAAGCGCATTCAAATGGACTAGAGAGAGGGAGATTTGCATTTCTCTTCACTAGCTGCCCCTTAAATATAGAAATCAATTTAAAATCCTTCTACACATGTACAAAGTCCTGAGTGATCAGCCAGCATCACACTTCGAGGAAGCATATTATCCCCATCAAGTACTTAACTCAGAGTTCACTAAGTTTAAAGAAAACAAACAACCCAAAACCTCTGCTACTAAAATTCTACTTAAAATGTTTTTAAATGTTCGATACGGTTTGCTGGGAGTCCTCTCATGATGCACTAAGGATGTCTCCTAGGATGAACCCACGTGTATTTGAGCGCTTGAAAGGAAGGCAACTGTTTGGCTTAAAAACATGTCTCACCTGTCACCCAAGAGCCAATTTTATAACAACTGTAGAGCTCCGTGATAGGACTCGCATTATTGATAAAGGCTCACTGAGCATCAGGATCACCTCAAAGGGACAACATCACTATGTGTTAAATACCTGAGACTGAAGAAGACTCTTGGATGGATATGAGAGATCTTCATGAACCAAAAAAAAAACATTCAAGTTCAACCTTTTTTAATTTTACACATTAGTTTCTGACAGGTCTCTTTCATTACCTACAGCAGCATTTCTTTATGATGTAGAGAAAACAGGCATGTCCTCTTGAAATTGTGATATCTAAGGGATTAAATTTGCAGTTAAACTACATTACACTGGTTCAGCCCATTTAAGAAAATGGACCCGAATGTAGCCCACAATGAAAATTGACTATCACATGCTTGAGAACCTACCTATATTCTCCCATATGTTTATATGCCAACGTTACACTGGTCTATGTTCTCCCATAATCTGTGTTGTTGATCATCTTTCTATGCTCTCACTTTTCCTCCTCTTCACCCCCCCCAACCAGTTGTGGTATCTTTAGTGCTTTCTCTCTCTTATATTGTGGGATCTTTGCTTTGCAATATAAAGTGCTTGAGTTAAACATTTTTGAATTGGTGCTGTATTCAACTGAAAAGCCCTTTAAGTGGTGAAAACATCTTCAGGCCCCCCCACTGTTAAAAGCTGTCTCGTGCTTCATCAGCCAACTGGAACAGCGCCTTCAAACGCACAACCATAACCATGGCAGACTCTTCTCTGTCATGGCAACTCTGTTTCTTTTCACACCTGTTAGTTCAGGTGATCACGAGACCATCACAATCTGCAAACTCTCACTCCACAGTCCGAGCTGAAGAACTGCATCCAGCAGGTCACCATGAAGGGTAAGTGCTGCTGGTTTTAATGCTCACACAGAAAGTCATCAAATGTTCAGCTTTAACTAATGTGATCGGTCTGCATCCACACAGTTGTAGCTGGTGGTGTTTTGTTGCTGGCTGTTGTCCACCTGAGCAGTACTTGTATCAAAGAGGGAACGATCACGATCTGCTTCAACATCCCAACACGTAAGGAATTTTGTTTACTACACCTTTAATGGTGACCTTTAAAATAGGCTTAGACAGCAACATTATATATATCGGAAATAAAGTCAATTAACTTCATACCAAGAAGAAAAATGGATTTCTTCTTCATTTAATTTAATTCAATTTAATACACAAGCGTGTATACTGAAAAAAACGCAACTGGCCTTAAAGTCACCTTTTCTGACAAGATGTTTCACCTCTCGTCTAATAAACTTCTTCAGCTGTCAAACAACAAGCAGAGAGTGCATGATATTTAACCCTTAGTAGGAGCAGGTCTCTTGGAGGTCCCGAGGGTTGTTGATCCACTGTTAATCATGTGACCTGTCACATGAGCCAAAGGGACGGCCCTCACTAAGGGTTAAATACCTGAGACTCTGAATGTGGTTTTAAGAAGAAACCTTTCGGCTGACCTGCACAGATATAGATTTAGACATTCTTGTAGGAATAAACACATGAACCAAAACCTGCTCACGCTGGTTAAAAAAAACAGTCCGATCAAATGATTCAAAGCTAAAACCATTTCCTGTAGTTTTACAAGTAAAAAATAGAATTTCATATAAAAAAGAAAATGACCCCTAAACTCTACTTTTCAGAATTTTTTTATTTCCATTGACCAAAGTTTTTACAATTATATATGTTTTTAAGTTCTTCGGAGGATTCCGATGATTTCATTGTCTTTTGTGCCTTTATAGTCCCAGACTGAGTCTGATGTTGAGGCTTCTGGGGTCATTGGAACAAGTCTGATTTCAGTTCTGTCGGGCTGTAAAAAATTGATCAAGAAGTTTTATTTTCTCTTATTGATCTTACTACAATTTACTAACAATTTAATACTCAACGTGATCAAACCACAGTTAATGATACCTGCTGACTTGTAACAGATGCTGCAAGTTTTACTCTGGTCACACATTTCTCAACCACTAGGGGGAAGCAAAGGCAACAAAATAGTCTCTTCAGATGTTTGCATATCTGCAGGATGCTTTGATTTTATAGTTTCACTGCATGTTTTCTCCTTTGAGCTCATTTGTTGATTCAGATTGATTTAGCAAAAGGATGCAAATGTAAGTATGTGCAGCTTTGTGTTTGACTCCTCTAAAAACACTTCTGCCCACTTAGATTTTGAACCTGGTTCCTCATCTCTGTTGATGGTCCTGAAGGATGTCGGAGAGATCAACTCCACAGTGCTGCAGAGTGAGAACCTCGCTTCTATCACCAGGCTCACGATCAACAACGCAGGTGTCACGAGAATCGCTGAAAAAGCCTTCAGCTCACTTACCAATCTTAAGTATCTCAGCTTGGAGCTAAACAATCTGTCGCAGATTAATTCAAACTGGTTTAAAGAACCCGCCGCCCTGAGTGAGATCATCCTTACGGGAAATCACATTGAAGTCTTGAGTGAGTCCACGCTCGGACAGTTTGCTAACCTCACAAGCCTCAGGCTGAATAAAAACATGCTCAGGAATATTGAGCAGAATAGTTTCAGTTCCCAGGCCGCCTTGGCTGAGTTAGACTTGTCCAAGAACAAGTTGACTTGGGTCTCACCACAAGCCTTCAGATCTCTGACCTCCACCAAGATCAGATTAGGCGGGAACCCTTGGGACTGTTCGTGTGAAGCTGAAGACTTTGTCGCCTTTATGAAAGGTTTGAGAAAAGTGAGAAACTACATTATTAATGTGGTTTTATTAAAAAAAAGAAAAGAAAGAAAGAAATGTAAAGTTGCTTCTCCCCTCAGCTCTACAGAGCAGATCTCAGCTGGAAAACGAGATGGACGTGACCTGTGAGAGTCCTCCATCCCTGAGGGGTCGGCTGGTGTGGAATGTAACGGTATGCGTGACATCACCATCAAGAACACCGTCAGTGGGCCCTTTATCCACTGGTACAGCTGTTTCTTCTTGCCTAATTATTCGTTTTTATTAAAGTCTACAAGTCTAAAAGCATGATTTGTTTAATTAAATAACTGCCACGTAGTATCTACATTTTTACCTGCAGTAAAAGTGGTGACGACCTCTCCATCGCCAACATCAGAGACAGAAACCTCCGTCAAACCCAAACCCACTATAAGCTCTTCTCACACTGGTACGTGAAGCTTTTTTTTCTTTTCCCAGTTTCCGTTAGATGCTGAAGATTCTTTGCATTTTAAATTTGTGCGTGCTTGTGTTCTCTCCACTGACAGTTCCGTCATTAGAAACATCTGTCCACCCTAAGCTCACTTATGCACACACACCTGGCCCTGCATCCACTGGTACATGTGCTGCTTTTTTTCATAAAAACTCAAAATTCTTACAGAAATATTTCCACCCCTTTAAAAAAAAAATAGCAATGCTTCTCTCTGTTTTTCCTACAGTAAAAGTGGAAACTCCTTCATCACGACCAACATCTAACTCAGACACTTCTGTTACACACAAACCCACTGATGTAGCCACAATGAGCTCGTCCCACACCAGTACAGTGGCTGATCAATTTTGTGAAATTCTTTACATTTTGTGCGTACTAGTAACTGGCACTTATTATTTCTATTTTTGCCTGCAGTTAAAGTGGTGACAACCACTCCATCACGCCCAACATCAGACACTTCTTTCGCAGCCTCATCCACTGATGTACCTGCAATAAGCTCTTCCCACACTGGTACATGTGGCTAATCCTTTTTTTGAAATGCTTTTCATTTTAAATTGTACCACAGTTGTTGTTTTTTTATTTGTAACACTTGACAAGAGTATTTACATATCTTTACTTAAATAACCAACACTTAGTATTTGTATTTTTACCTGCAGTAAAAGTGGTGACCACCCCTCCACCACGTCCAACGTCAAACTCAGATGTTTCTTTTAAACCCACATCCACTGATACATCCACAATTAGCTCTTCTCACACTGGTACATGAAGTTTTTTTTCTTTTCCTAGTTTCCGTTAGATGTTTGAAATTCTTTACATTTAAAATTTGTGCATACGTTTGTTCTCTGTAGTTACAGATTCATCATTAGAAACATCTGTCCACCCTAAGCCCACTTACGCACACGCATCTGGCCCTGCATCCACTGGTACATGTGCTGCTTTTTTCATAAAAATTCTAAATTCTAACAGATATATTTTCACCCCTTTTTAAAAACAAACAAACAATGCTGTTCTCTTTTTTTCCTACAGTAAAAGTGGAAACTCCTTCATCACGACCAACATCAAACTCACACAAACCCACTGATATACCCACAACAAGCTCTTACACCAGCACATGTGGCTAATTAAATTTTGTGAAACTCTTTACATTTCAGTGTGTGCATACTATTAACTGGCACTTAGTATTTCTATTTTTACCTGCAGTAAAAGTGGTGACAACCACTCCATCACGCCCAACCTCAAACTCAGGCACTTCTTTCATAGCCTCATCCACTGATGCATCCACAATAAACTCTTCTCAAACTGGTACATTTTTTTTTTCGTTTCCCAGTTTTTATTAGAAATGTGAAATTCTCTACATTTTAAATTTGTGCGTATTTATGTCTCGGCTGTTCTCTCTAGTGACAGTTTCATCATTAGAGACCTCTATCCACCCTAAGCCTATCTATGTACATACACCTAGCCCTGCATCCACTGGTACATGTGCTTCTTTTTTTTGTTTGAAATTCACCATTATGATAAGAATACTCTTATCTCTTTAAAACATTAGCAATCAGTGTCTCTGTTTTTCCTGCAGTAAAAGTGGAAACTCCTTCACGACCAACATCAAAGACAGAAACTTCTTTCAAAACCAAACCCACAAGCTCCTCTCTCACTGGTACATGTGGCTTTTCCTGTCTTTTGTTTCTACCCCCCCCCACACAACTCATACCACTGACTGACCACATTATTAGGTACACCTGCTCAACTGCTTATTAACACAAATATCTAATCAGCCAATCACATGGCAGCAACTCAATGCATTTATGCAAGCAGACATGGACTATTTCTTTGTGTCAGAGTATCTCTGAATGCACAATGCATCAAATCTTGAAGCAGAAAAGCACATCAGGTGCTTCTCGTGTCAAAGAAGAACAGGGAGCTGATGCTACAATTCTGCTCTCCAAAATTGACCAACATAAATTTTGCTTGATCTGATAAATCTTGATTTCTGCTGCAGCATTTGATTGATAGGGTCTAAACATGAAACCATGGATCCATCCTTCCTTGTATCAATGAGTCATGCCACTGCTGCTGCTACAGTGGTGTTGGGGATATTTTCTTGGCACACTCTTGCCGCTTAGTACCAACTGAGCATTGTTTAAATAGAGTAGAACCCCTTAATGTACCATCTTCTGATGTCTCCTCCTATAGCAGCATGACAGTCATGTCACAAAGCTCAAATCATCTCAGACGGGTTTCTTGAACATGTCGACTCAAACAGCCTCCACAGTCATCTGGTCTTGTCATCATCTCAATATAAACCAAAATCTCTGAGTAACGTTTCCAGCACCTTACTGTATCTTTGTGATGAAGAATTAAGGCAGTTTGGAAGGCAAAGAGAGGGTCTCTAACTTTGACAGCATCAAATCTGTGTCACAGAATAGCTCTGAATCACTGATTACGAATATTCCTAAGATTTTTTTGTTTTGTTTTATGTTGTTGTCTATTATTTTGCTATGAAAAAATAATTTTATATCAGTTTGACAGAATCTACCGTAACCGCATTGGGGAAAATCTGCACACACCCTTAGTATGAGTCATCCTGAAACTCTGGAAGTTATTGACCTGCAGATGGCGCCAGAGTAACACGATTAATCTGATCATAGCCCAGCGGTCCTGAACTGTATCTAACTGTTAAAACATTTTGCACAATTACTGCTTTTAAGAAGTGAAAACATTCTGCATTTTACAACATTGTGGACTCTCTAGCTTGTTTCTTATTCTCCTCAGGATCTTATGAGACGTCACCTCTGGTAAGGACAGAAGTCTCACCCCACGCCGAACTCACAAACTCATCCACAACAGCTTCTGAACCTGTTGGAGTGACAGGTACATTGGATTCTTCTCAAAATGTTTGTCATCAGAATTCTGAAATACTAATGCATGAAATCTGTGCTGTTTTGTTTTTTTTTTTCCTTTGGCCAGTTCCATCACAACCACCGTCAGATACCAACGTTGTCCGTGCGCTCATTGCTGTGATTGGTATGTTTCTACTGTATATTTCTGTTTGATTGAATTGAAAATACATACGTAGCTAAAATAGTCTTTCTGTTTACCTGGCCCTCTCTACAGTGGTCCTCTGTGTGCTGCTGTTTGTGGTGTGTTTCCTGGCTGTGCGACACCGAAGGAAACACAACAAAAAAAGTGTGACACCCGGGCATTCGAGAGAAGACAAAAAGCAGCTGGAAGAAGAAAGCAGATCAAGTCATGACTCTCTAAGATCCTCTGAGAATAAGGATGCAGAGATGGCTCGGATAACATCCTTTACTGGAATCAGAGCAAAGTCAGCAAATGCTGTAATCCTCATGTCTCCTTTTTGTGCATCTGGGAAGGATCCTGTGACTTTGCATACTGAGACAGAGGCTCAAGCAAAAGTCACTGAAAACCCAGCTGAGGGAAAGCAGAAGCTGGTGAATGAAACTGAAGCCACAGGAGCTGCAGGAGGATTTCAGACAGAAAATCCCGCAAACACCACAGACGCGATCAAGGAGAATGAAAAAACAGCCAATCCTGGTACAAATCTAGATGAAAACCCTGAATGTGTTCCTGTTAGCACTGACATGGTACCTTATCTGAGCATCGGCACAGACCAGAACAAATCACTTCCTGTTGAAGAGTCTGTTGAAGGTCCTGGTCTAAGATCAAAAGGCAGCAAAATTATCAAGAGGATCTCTACCTGGCCCCCCGCTGCAGCTCAGTGGCAGGAAAGATGCAAAAGAAAAGCAGAAGATGAGGAGGATGGTGATGACTTGACTGTTTGGGGACAAAATGTAACAAAGAAGTTTTCAGATGAAATAAAGAAGACTGTAAATGATAGAGGCCATCCCTTCAGTTTTGATGGGGACAAAGAGAAAGATGAAACTATGAAAAATCAAATGGGGGCTCTCATGGACCTGAGACACTCGCAGTCCTTAAAACCAATTGAAGAGGAACACCTGAAGAAAGAAGGGATGGCAGTGGGTGATACTACCACTGTGACACAAACGACTGCACAAAACCAAAATGCGAATCAGGAAAACCTCCATCAGGATCGACATCAGACATCTGGAAAAAGCTCAGCACACAACAACATCAAGAGCAGCAAGGAGGACAATCAGAGGAAGGAATCGAAACGAGCTGTGCACAGCAGGCAGAGGGCAGAAAACAGGGCGTCCAGCTCAAAGGCTCCCTCTGGTGGTGCATCACCTGATGACGAAACGCTGCTGTCTGGGAACGACTACGCCTTCATGAACCTGCTGCATGAAGTCGTTCAGAACAATGGCCGTTGGACCAGACAGAGGTGGAAGCAGACACATGCCAACAAGCAACGGCGTTAGAAGAGAGCTGGCAGAGGAGATCATCATGGCTATCCAATCACTCTTCAAGTAAAATGAAATTCTCACTTGATTCTTACACTAAGTGTAACTTGAAAGTTTGCTGTATTGGCACAGGGCAGTCCAGCCTCTGCCTCTTAATGCATTTGTGTTAAATATGACGACTGGCTGAATTTAGCCCATTTTCCAAAACCCAGCAATCTTTCTAATGGCTAGCAGAGGGCAGCTCTTGAAATCAGATTGCATAGAAGTCTACTTAAAGGCCAGATTTTCTAAACTAGACCCAAGAGTGCTCATAATTGTGATTAGAGTTGAAAAAAAAAAAGCTTTTTGAGGTGAATTTCAATATCAAGCTCAAAAGATAAGACATGCTTTTTTTCAGCGTTAAATATCAGCGCAATTAGCACTAAATTGCATGTTGCAATCGTTAGTAAATCATTTTGCATGTCTGATTTAAATATTCTCCTCCCTGTATTTTACTTTGCTCTCCTTTTATGCAATGTGTGCCCTGCTCACTTGATTTATTAAATTTCTGAGTTTATGGTTTCAATATCTTGTTTCAACTTTAATTTAATACATAATTTTTGTCCAAAAAATGATAGTGTCACTTATAATGTGATACATAATAATAATAATAAAGACGTTTTAGGGTGAAGCTAATTTTCATCGCTTACTTTATTGCTGAATGTGTACAAATATGGAAATGTAAATAAAAGAGCAAAAGAAAAAATATTTAATTTGAGCTAGCAACATATTTTGTTTTGACGAAAAAAAGATGTTAACAAAATAAGTTTTGTTTGGTAACTCTCGGCACAAATCAGAAGAGTCTTTTAGCTCACACACATAACATACCAGCCACCTATATAGGTGGGGTCATATCTATATACGGCACAAAATATATGTCATTATCCCCGCATTCCTCACATAAATGAAATAAAACATCAGTGTTTGTGTTAGGTTCATCCGCTCTGGCTGCATGCAGCATTTATTTGTTCATATTATGAATGTGGAGAAGAACACTTCTCATAAGAAATAGTACAAAAATTGGACAATGACTCAAAAACAAAGTGGAGGTAAACAGAATACATATAGTAGGCTTTTGTTAACACAGAGACAACATGCATGTTCCATTCATATAAATACACAGTATCAAATAATGACTCCAGCTTGCAAGCAGTTGACTCGATTATGGGTTTCTCTAGACATTGGACTAAATGTTCCTGTCAACGTACAAAATGTCTTGTTCTTGGCAAGCCTGTATATCAAAACATGCTTCTTTTTTTCGTGTTAACATGCCCTGTGTGGTATTGTAAGTGTGGACAGTAGGAGATGTGAAGTGAACCCTTTCTAGAGTGTTAGGATTTGTCACAAGTGAGGACCTAGGAAGATGTTACGCGAGTATATCAGCACACTGATTGCATCCTCCATCGCAGTCACTCACGCTTTCACTCCTCACCTCCCTGCCCTGTAAACTGACACTTCAGAGGGGCCAATGAACAAAGATCAACAGTACATTTCAGCGGAACAAATATGCCTACAGTAATAAGCATGAAAAAGCCTATCCTATATTTTCTTCAGAACAAACAAGGGAAAAAATGGCACATCTCAGTGAGAGAAAACACTTTCTCAAATCGTCACTGGATATTTCTTTGACAAATGAAAAATTAAGTATCGAATTAAGTTTTGTAAACATTCACAGGGTAAACCAAACCAACAGATGCATGATAATTTACTGCACATCACGCTTGTTTCTGCTTCATGGGAACGGTTGAATACTGTCCGCCGTGTTCTGCAGATTCATATTAAAGGGGTGCTGTTATGCTCTACGCATTCCCGTAGAGCATAGTGCAAAAATAGTTCAAGTCCAACAGTTTCACGTTTCGTCACACAAAATAACAAACTGGCAAACAATGAGTACATTAAGGTTTTATATACACTGAGCAAACCAAATGTACAGCTGAAAGAAGATAAATCAAGATTAAATATTGTTTCATACACAATGTGCCCGTACGGTTCAGAAAGGAGCACATTTTGCTTTTCAGCTCGTTCCAAAATAAATTTGGAAATACAGTAAATTTACAGGATAGAAACAGACTTGACTGTGCCTGTCGATATCTGTGCAAAACTATTCTGCTACCGGTCGCACTGCAACTCATCACCAGATATGATCATAAAAACAAAAAACAAACAAACAAAAAAACCCCGACAACAATCAAATGAATTCAAGTTGAAAACACTGGAGCCTGACTGCTGTTGATATTAATTACAGTTAACGATGATGCATCTGATAGCATTTAGCAAAAGATGAGGATCTTTATTTTCAAGTGACCGAGTGAAATAGCAGTTAGAGATATCAATTCTCCAATTTTTACCACAACAGATCCATTGTGGCACTGATAACTGAAAGTCATTTAAACATTTTATGATTTGATTTTAGTGCAAGTGGTGATTTTTTTGTTAATTGAGCATTTTATTTTGCTAGATAATTGGGTAATCTAAATACTCTCTCTAAATTCTACAGCTAAGTAGTCACATTTTTCATCTTTATGTACACAATAATCCAAAGATTTTCACCGTGAATTTTCAAATGATGTAGGTTACCCTGTTCCCGCGTCACTTAAATCACCTTTCTTCCCCATTCTGATGCATGGTTTGAATTGTAGGTTGTCTCAAACAGGCATCCATTCCTAAATGCACTCTATTCTCACCATGTGATTGGCTGATCAGTTATCTTCATTAACAAGCAGTTGAACAGGTGTACCTTACAAAGTGACCATGATATGTACTGAGTGACGGAGACACTTGATAGTTAAAAATTAACTTGTTAAAACTAGTAGTCCAGAAAAAAAAGAAGAATTTTCTCATTCTATCCTATTCAACGATAAATAGCACTTAAATATAAAATTAAAAATGCAGCTTATAATACTTCAGATAAATACTGAGTTATAATAAGTACAGCAGCAAAAAGGCTTGTGTTGTTAACATTAGTTTCTAAATGCTAAATTTAGAAAATTATTCCTTTTTTTGATGAACAGTTTTCCTTTTGCTGCTGCAGATGTTTGGGTCAGCTCCTGTAATAATAAACACTGATGTCACAGATGTACAGAGCTTGTCGTTGGCAGGCGGCGGCGGGGATGCCATGTTTTACTAAACTGAATGCACAAAATGTGATCTGACATGAGATGTAATTTGTGTGCGTATATTAAAAAACTAGCCTACAGACTTTTCCTAAATAATGAGCATGTGATAAGAAGGATAGTGCTGCTGTGATAACAAGCATTGTGCAGGGCCAAGCTCACTATGTTTAGCTCTTATTGGGAGGATGTTCTGCAGCTAGCTTGGTTAGCAAGCTGGGTCCATAAACCGTAGGGCTGAAAGTCGAGACTAAAATAACTTCTGATTAGTACTGATAAGTTACTTACTAATAAAAAAAAATTAGGTTCACCAAAATTTAAGCACAAAATTGTCGGACTGTACAATCAGCTGCACAGCAGGTCATATATATTTTTATGTCAAATAATATTACGTCAGAAATGCTTTAAATGGCACCAGCAGCACAAACATTGTAGTTCAGTTCAGCAACTAATTGTTGAGTACTGTCACACCCTGATTATTAAAGGCTTTAAATATGTACATTTCATAGCTGAAGTTGGGAAACCCCGACAGGCATGCAAGTCTATGGGGACTGACTCACTGATGGAGATGACTACGAAACTGCAGATTTTGGCACTTCTGCGTTTTCTTTAAGAACATGAATTAACATTTTGTGCACCCACTGCAGTAAGACAAGGAATAACGAACGTTTTATTTCCACCTGTACTGCTGCTGACAGGCTCCATACTAAAAAGATGCAGAATGGCACAAAAGTTATAAATAATTCAACGATATTCACAAAGCAATAGTGTAAACAGAATGGCACATACAGTAGAGCAGACATGACTTGGAAAACTTAATGAAATAAATTAGGAATAAATGTACTTTCTAGCAATGATCACAACAAAGTCATTTCCAGAAATATACCGCAAACCTGGCTGATAAAAGTAGCACGGCAGTGTGTATATTTACAGAAAAAAAGGTTGTGCTTGTAAGTAAATAAAAAACCTGTCTAACAAAGTTTTAAAATTTGAATTAAGCTAAAATAAATAAGTAAAGAGAAGTGCACAGGTAGTGTAATTTTAGGTTAAATGCCTAAAAAAGAAGAAATTCAAAGCATTTACCCTCGTCTTTAGATGACATGATCGTTTAGATGTGAAGGAGGGTGTAGTTGCCCCAGGTTTCTGTTCTTTTGTAAATTCAGGTAGAAACAAGCACAGAGGAGGTCATGGTATGAGGTCAACCGCACTGCTTGGTGAACGAAGTGACGGTGAAGATATTCTGTTTAAGCTCTACTCTCGCCGTCCTTTTTTTTCGGAGGAGGGTTCTCAGTTTCAGATTGTTTTCGTGGGTGATGTGTGTTTGCGTGTGTTTGCGTGTGTTTGAATGGCAGGTGATGACGAGGCACTCTTCATGCATCTTTCTATAGCAGCTCGGTAGGGAAACAAGAGATCTCTCAGGGGTGAATTTTTAAGATGTTGATTGTTTCTGGTCTCGAGCTGAGACACACTTAATGCACATTCACTATGGACAGCTGATCTCGGCCCGATAGGAGCCTTTATCTGTGTGAGACAAACTAGCTCAGTGGGCCCAGGCCGGCTTTTAGAGGTTAAGGGTCAGGGTGTGTAGAGGACTCTGGGGGCGTGGGTGGGTTTCAGAGGTGAGTCTCATCTCTGGTCTCTGTGCCAAAGTCTTGCTGGTTCCTGCTACAACGAGCCGGTCCCACCTGCGAGTCCTCCGGCACGTGCGCCAGTGGGTCTGAGCGGATTATATACCTGCGAAGACAAAAACTGACATTATCTGCCAGCATGGAGCAGTTACAGACTTCGACTCCCAAACAAGTACTTACATGTAAACATCTGGCATTTAAATATGGCAGCCGGGGGTTTCACCTCTAGGAAAGTTGAGCATTATCACTAAATTAAGCTGTTAATTAGTCTAAAACTTACTGTGAGAGTAACTTTCCAACCATGTACTTGCTAAATATTACCCAAGAGGTTTGCACTGTTCACCTTCCTTTCTTACTGAGTCTCCAGAGTGGCTCCACAGGGTTTACACATTTACCTAACAAGAGAATGAGCCCTGGTTTTATCCCAGGAGATGACAGGAATCAGCTGGTGTTTCTGTCAGGAAGGACATCTGGCGTGATCAAACACATGTTGTATTTTTTATACTACTGTCTACAGTAGCAACAATTTAATTATTATTACCAGGTGATTTACTTAGTTACTATCAAGTTGAAAACAATATAATAAAGGTCTATGAAACAAAAAATATAGAGAGATCTCAAATAAATAACAGATGAGATCTTAAATACTGGAACAGTTCTATTATTAAAGCACTGTCATGGTCTCAATCAGTGGACAGTTACAGGGTAGTGTATTAACTTGTAGTATGGATGAGTGCAAATTAATTGAAACTTTAAAATCCTAGTTTGGTGCTAACAGTTAAATTATTAACTACACCAATCAGCTCCAACATTAACATCAGGTATTGTGTGCACACAGCTTCTTTAAACCAGGGTCCTTCATATAATATTTGTAGCTGTTTCAAAGAGCCCGCTACGATCAGCAGATACAAATGGTCTGCAACTATGTTTAGGCAGAGGTTGAAGTAACACCCACATAAATGCAAGGACTTGCTTCATTCAGGCTGCCTTTTTACACAGTAAATCCTTTTGCTTTTTCTGATAACATTACTCATGGGGCCAGGCCGCCTTCTTCCAATGCCTCCCCTGTGGACAGGGGTCGACATGACCAGCTCTGTAGTGTGGCAACAGCCTGCCCTCTTTCTGTCACGGCCTGCACTGAACTTTTTAATAATGTAGCCCAGTAAGACCCACCATGTTCACAGGCTGTGACACAGTCATATAGCCACCTCAAGCTGGATCATGTCAGTCCCTCAGATCCACATTGCCATCAACAGCTGACAGTTCACTTGCTGCCAAATATATCTCAACCCTAACAGGTGGCACTGTAGCGATATGCAATTCCCTTCGCCTGTCAGTGGTTATAATGTTGTGTCTGATTGGTGCATTACTCAAAAGCAGAATGATTTGCCAGCTGTCCCTTCTGGCTGCTCATTATAATTACATAAGCTCGACCCTGGAGTCTGTGGCGGCGAGGCTTCAAAAGTGGAAGTTCAGTGCGCAGTTTGAAGTTAAGCCTTTGCAAGTTAAATAACAACTTGCCTTTCTTATGAGGCTAGAAATAATTCTGAAGCAGTCACGCTTAACAAGGTGACACCAGTATTATTAAGGAACTTTACTGATGCCTCGTATTAATTAATATTCGTGTTACGTTGTTGACTGTTTCAGAATAGCTATACTTTTTAGTGTTAGCCAGTTAACATGCCAGTTATATCGCCGCCTGTTAAGATCCACACACCCTGCTGGTTCTCTGCTCGAGGTGTTAACCGTTACCTGTGCGCGCGTGCTGCAGGCATCGATTCACACATCAAAAAGGGTGACGCTTTGCGACACAGCTGGAGTTTACATGAAAGGTGTTATAAATGGAATATTTCACATAATACCAGACTTTTCCTGCAGTTCTCCTGCAAAAGATATATTTACGAAACAGTGTGAAGTCATTGTTTGTAGCTGTTTGCAAGCTGCATGTCTGGATATACAGGATGACTGTAAATACTAAGTTGAATAAACTTATTATAATTTGTCCTTTTCCCCCAGATCAGATAACAAAGTAACAATTTGTTACAGCTCAGTAATAACGTAGTAACATTCCCTTTTAATTACCCCACTGAAGATGTAAGTGTATCCAAATAATAATTTTGTATCAAGAGTTGTTATAGCTGAGTGATATTACATTGAAATTATGTTATTGGGTAAACACATGCCCCAAGTGGAGGAGTTTAAGTATCTTGGGATCTTGTTCACGACTGACGGGAGAAAGGAGCGGGAGATCTACAGTGCTGCAGCTGCAGTGATGTAGACGCTGCACCGGTCTGTTGTGGTGAAGAGAGAGCTGAGTGTAAAAGCAAAGCCCTCAATTTACCAGTCGATCTACGTCCCTACAATCACCTATGGTCACAAGCTGTGGGTAGTGACCGAAAGAACGAAACTGCGGTTACAAGCGAAAGAAATGGGCTTCCTCCGAAGGATGGCTGGTCTCTCCCTTAGAGATAGGGTAAGAAGTTTGGCCATCCGGGAGGGGTCAGATTGAGCTGCTGCTCCTCCACATTAAAAAGAAGTCAGCTGAGGTGGTTCGGGGATTTGATAAGGATGCCTCCTTGGTGAGGTGTCCCGGGCATGTCCCACTGGGAGGAGGCCCCGGGGCAGACTCAGGACACGCTGGAGAGATTATATCTCTCAGCTGGCCTGGGAATGCCTTGGTGTTCCCCCGGACAAGCTGGAGGAGGTGGTGGCTGGGGAGAGGGAGGTTTGGGCTTCTGTGCTTAGGCTGCTGCCCCCACTACCCGGCCCCCAGTTAAGAGGAAGAAGATGGATGGATGGGTAATAACATTCAAGAAACCCGGGGTAAATATAGTAAAACAATGTGCTGATTACAAAATAATAACCTACTAGCAATAAAATTGCAATATCTGTGCATTACAATATATTTGTATTCTGATACTATATATTTTAATATATTTATATTCTAATATTTATATTATGACTTGTGGCAGTAAGTAGTAATAAGGTGATATTTAATATTGGTTAATGCTTTGACATATGAGGATGGATACCATATTATAATTTCCAGGCTTTAATAACAATATATAAGATTTTGATTTGTGTATATCACAGCTGAGCTCCACATGTCAACTATTCAGTAATTTATTACTCAGTTTAATTTACATTTAAGTACCATTAGTGTTGGCTGACCAGTCTAAAAAACATAATGGTTTAGATTGTAATTTAGTCTGACTGTAACTAACAACACACAGATAAAACACAAAGGTGTTAACAAAGTAAAGCGTAGAGGATAAAAGAGAGAGGTCCTTACACAATGTCGTTGAGCTCCAGCATGGTGTCAGGAGGAGGATTGATGAGGACGTAGGACAGCGTGTTCTGGTGGTCGTTCATCTCATCTGCAGAAACAGACAGAGATGGCCTTCAGTGCTGCTCTGGAGCCCTCTCTCGTCCCCCTCCATTATACAGAACATCAACCAGGAAATGCGCCTGTTATCCATTTAAAATATGACACTGCCTTGTTTTCAGCCTTTCAGTCAGGACAAAAGTAAAGTAAAACTTAACGAGCAAGTGGTGCAAAAAATCAGAGGCAAATAACTGCGGGAATAATTTGAGGGTTCCTTGTTACAACTGCTAATGATCATTTAAATCTTAATATGAGGAAACAAATGATCTTATTAAACACATTTAGCATGAATAAAGCCTGTCATTAAGTAATGTAAAGCCTGTATTTAAATGGGATTAGAAAAAAGAACATACAAACTCCAGAATCTGACATTTTTACACGGTCATTTTAAATAGCTGGAGCAAGGGCAGCTTTACCACACTTATACAAACTCTGTGAGTGGAGGACAGTCGCAGTTTTTAAATGTAAATGTTTTCACATAATCAATTTATACAGGATGTCTTTTATTCTATTTTTTATCATTAATGCAAAATGTTTTCAATGGTTGACTGATCTGGGCTCATCATTCAGTTCTTCCTTTTTTAAACATTTTACACAGTATTCAAAGTTCTTATGGTTTGTATATTTTAAAGATGTATAATAAAATTTGACTAGCAAAAGAGTTTTGAAAGCCTTTAGAGTCCAGTTTGCCATGTTCACCAATTTCTTGTAGAAGAAATCAATCCTGCATATATTCTCTACCTTTAACTAGTTCCTTAACCAGGATGTAAATGACGTAGGCTCAAGATTCATAACAATTCACAGGTTACTGCACGTAAAACGACCAATGTTACCTCGACCTTGATCACAGTTTGGGTGAGGACCCATTAAGCGATCAGTGTGTGCAAGTTTGATTAGATTCTGATGAGTACTGCAGGGGAAGTACCAGACGTTGACAACTGGGGACGAGCATAGATTCACTTTAATAGTTAAACAATTCTTCCAGTCTGCAACAAGCTAACTGAACAATAAATCAACCATGTGATTATAAATTACTGTTAGAAAATTTAATATTTCACAAAATATTAAACTGATTTAGAAAATCGTATTATTTTTATTTGAAAAGCATTTTAATTCGTTTTAAAATTAACCACTTAAAGATACTCATAAATTGCTAAATTCCCTCATCCTTTACATCCTGTTATAAACACTAAAAACATTAACAGTTGTAACAAACATCTTTTATTGCTTCAACAACACAGTTAGGCCAAGGAAATTGTTCTGCACTATGAAGAGTTTAGATTTTATGAGAGGAAACCTATGAGAGTTTAACCTTTATTTTTCCAGATGAGTCATATTATGTGTGTGTGTGTGTGTGTGCATGTGTGTGCATGTGTGTGTTAATCATGTCTGCATGCATGTGTGGTGATTGCGCTCCGGCAGTGTCTCCTACTTGTGTCGTGTGATGGGCAGAGGAAGGAAAAGGAGGGCACGTGTGTCTCCGTGACAAACCCACCTGCTTGTGGCCCTTTATAAAGCCAGGCGGGGTGAAAGAGAGAGAAGGTCTAACCGTTACTGACAGGGCACTTTGTGGAATAAGGGGAGGCCCACATGCTGCCTGCTGACTGAAACGGCACCCCATGCGCAGCTTCAGAACGGAGCCAGCATGCAGACAGCGTCCCCAGCTACGCAACAGATCGATCTAAGTCGCATTCCTTTTACGTCCTGCGCATTCCACACGGGACCAACAGGCTGCTAAGGCGGCAGGTTGCCATGCTAACTGACGACACTCAGCCTCCCACCCCCCCCCAACCACCACCACAACCCAGCCTCCCCCCGACTGACATGTGACATACGCACAGACAGAGAGGAACATGCTCCAGCATCCGTCAGACTGGACCAAACGCAGAGCGACTCAAACCAAACAGAGTGAAGCAAAGCACATTGGGAGTGTGAGAGTGGAAGAGGTCAACCTGCTGCTTTTAAATCTATTCAGGTACACTTTACAGTTACGGTAATTCTCTGTTCGCCCTTCATCCACACATCGTTACTGCAGACTACTCAGTGTATTAAATATGGGTTATACCATGGCGGCAGATATATAATTGGTAACCAGCTGAAGAAAAGCAAAGGATTTATTGTTGTGGCTCTGTAATCCAGCATAACTATAGTTATAACAATGCTTACTTTTGCTCATGTTAGAGGGTATACTTTTTTAAACAGTTTTGCTCCTATTAATGCTACTAATTTGGAATCAACAGCTTAAAATCCCCCAAAGCAACAAATAAAGATGATCTAGACCCCTGCCTTATTCATGCTACGGAAGTGTGAATATTTAAATATTATATTTAATATACTGACACTGGTAATTATCCAACTCTGGAAACATGATTCTGGACTGGTCAGCGTTTAAGTTGGTCTCTTTTTGCTTGCGTTCCTATTATTCCCATTTATTAGGGTCAGTGTTTTTTTCCCATTAATCAAAATCCTAGTTTTTAATGTAGCAATTTAGGATGTAGTCATATAGTTATTGTGGCACTAAAATAACTACAGATTGGTCTTGTTCTAATTTAGAAACCTTCGATTTTTAGCTCAAACGTGTGAAACAAATTACAGGAAAAGAACCGAATCCTGTTCGATCCTCTTTTATGCCGTGCGTCATCATTTGTTCTGAGGGAGCACCTTTATCTCTTTATCTTTATGGTTCAAAAGCTGGCCTCAAACAAGATGACCACAAAGCACTTTTATAAGTATGAAAATGTTGTCAATCCACAGACTGTGTATTAAAAATAAAATTAGAAACTAAAGGACGCTCCACATTCAAAAGAGATTTTCCAATCATGAGGCAGGCCTGTCTGAAAGCATACCCTGTTTTATTGCCCTTTCAGGCTCTAATGGGGGCCATAATTTACATGTGCTGAGTTAAATAAGACTTGGAACCATCGATTACGACTGTAAACTCATTAGAAAAGCATTTTCTGAAGTCACCAGAGAGCACTTGGGTCATTTCCTACAGACTTCTACAATCAGATTTCTTTCTGGAGCCAGAGGAGTTGCCCCCTGCTAATACTGAGATGACACATCCTTGCTGGCTTTGCTTTTAAGAGCCACTAGCATAATGTCCACATTATAGCGAGTCTGTGTATGAAACATATGTTATCATCCTTACAGTCACCAGAACTCAACCCAGTCGAACACCGCTGTAAGACTTTAGACTGGTGTGTTACGGCAGTGAAGGAAAATATCTTTGGAATAATTTTGTTCCACCCTGCCAGCAGAGTGTTGCAGTCTTTCAGTGTCACCCGCCTTTATATTCTGATTTTTATTTCCTCCCTCTCTATTTATTCTTTCCACACAGTGCTCTTGGCGTGCACATTTTGCATAACTACACTAAAGCGAGAAGTTAAACCACTGGAAGTCGCTAAAAAAAAACAATATTTTCGGTGAATGTTAAGTTGCTCTTTAAATAAAATTGAGAGCACTCCAGTGTGCAGGAGTACAGAACCACAAGATATATTACCAGAGCGAAAACGCTGAGGGGTAAAAGAGCTCAAACTGACTACAATCAGCTCAAACTTGACTTCTTTGGGGAAGTGGCCATGGCATAAAGTTAATACACTCTGAGGTGCACTGACATGTGAAAGTAACAGACATGGAGGAGGAAAAGAGCCCCGCTTCCTCCAACATGTTTACTTTCTACATCAGACCACCTCCGACACTCGTCGTCTTTTATACATTTATAGAATACAATCTATCCTTCCATCCACAGACATAATGCACTCCGCTCCACTCTTTAAGCCATACTCTGATGCCCTGCAGTACTCTAGCCGTTTGGGACGTCACCTCACAGGAACACAATGCAGAAAGACCAGATAGAGATCGAAAAAGAGAGGGAGAGAGTAGAGTGAGAGACTTGCTGCTGACCTACTGCTGACTCTGGCAGGGGACACACTCACATAAAAAACACACGCACACTCACACTCATGCAGTAAAGTTGCAGTACTGTGATCAACCAGCTAACCTGACAGCCTGGTCCCCTCTGAATACGGGTGCTCTGAAATGTCCTGCAACTCTAAGCAACGGCAGTCACTGTTAACTTCAACGTCCTAATGTATTCATTTGTACTCAAGTTATACGTCAAATAAAACAGATTATATAACTAAAGAGATAAGATAACATCTACAGTTAAGCATTCTTTTTGGTGGGCAAATGCTATTCTTCATTGGATGCTGGCGAAAGGACAAATTCCTTTCTCCACAAGGTGGACGTAATCACTCACATGTTGCAAATGAGTTATAAACAGCACACAAATTACCTTGCAAATATCCTAGATTTACTCGATTCATGACATCGCTCGCAGTGAGATTAGAAACATCCTCTACAAGCCAAAAGGGGAAGGAAGACAGAAGAGGCAGAGAAAGGAGGTTAAAAAAAAAAACAAGAACAAGAAACAAAAAAAATATCAGGCAGGCAGCAAAAGCATCTGCAGATTAAAAAAAAAAAACAACAATCAAAAAAACTCTTAAAAGTGTGAGAGCAATGCAAAGAGGCCATGCATCAGTGTGTGCACAGAATCACTTCCAAATTATTAATCTGTCACATCCTGCTGCAGAAATCCTCACTGACATTCATGGTTCTTTAGAAGATCTTGAACTTCAGGAGTTCTTCCTGAAACGTATTTAATTGACACATTACAACACATCTGGAGCATGATTCTGCTTTTTTGTTTTGAGCCGTGAAGCTGGGAGGAGGCAAAAACGAAAGAAAAAGTGAACTGAAAAGAATGCAGGCAATTTCACTCTGTAATTGCAGTCTTGAATGCAACTGAGACGAGGTTCGTGCTCCTGCATCCTCATGCGTGATGTCTTCACATCCACATGATGGTATGATCATGACTGCGAGGTGGTGTGCGTCTGAGTTATGACACACGGAAGAGGAGTTTGATGGGTGTGAAAGTGATGTGAGAAAATGAGGTTTTCTGAAGGTCAGTGACGATGCAGTGCGATGTCGATGATCTGTACTAACAAGCCTCACATTACTATGTGTTCATGGGAAATGAGATGAGGTAAAAGAAAACAAAAATGACTGGAATACAGATCGGAGGGTTAGATAACTTTCTCAAACACAGCTGCTTGCACTGCAGAAATAATTTAACCAGCTGAGAGAAGCATCAATTAGTGAAGCAAAAGAATCTCATGAACTTGATCCTGAAACCTGAACTGATCAGACTCTAGAGTGTCCTTGCTTCTAAAATTTAAGCTCATGAATATACTTCACCACCAGGCTCAGAAAGTACTTTTGCAGCTGATGCTACGGCCCATCGATTCAGTACGTGCAATCTTATTAAAACTAACAGGGCCAGTTTATTATATCTCGATTTAAACTGATAACACAGTGACAATGAAATTTGTGGTGGTGCATAGATATGTGACTTTGAGACTTTGAGATGGTCAATATCATTATTATTACGCATCAGAGCAAAGCCCAGTAAAACCAACAGGTGGTAACAGAGTAGGCAACTAAGGAAAGGCAACAAGTGTTCTCATACAAATGCAAGAACTCATTCTGCAGCTGTATGTAGTAATGGTACCCGTGTTTAATCAAGGAACTCATGGGAGTTCCTCACATAAGGCAGTGATAACAAAGGCACTTTATGTGTAACTGCCTGTGGCATGAAATCAGTCACATGCTATTCTTGATCTGAGCAGATTACAGTGTTCAGGAACAATACAAAAATAAAATCTTTGGCCTGTCCCAGCTTCTAAAATTCTCTGTAGTATAATCTTTGGTTTTTGGATCATTAAAAAACAAGCAGCCTAAAGGGATCCATCTGGGGTGACATTTTCACCATTTTCACTACTAGAAAAAGCGTCGTAAGTAGCTCAAATAAGTCAAAAGATATAGACGCCAAAACAAACATCCATTACAGAGGACATAAATGAATAGGCTGGTTCTCAGGGGGCTATAAATATTTTGAATAATAAAAGCACAGGCCTGGCCTGATTAGTCTCTTGTGCCAAATAGCCAGGGTGCTTTTGTGGCAACATCATAAATCAGTTATCCACAGGGTTTAGGTCCCCCAGTTCTTAGCAACAAGGACTATGAGCAGCCACTTAATGACATCAAGAACCACCACACCTGAGCAGCTAGCAGAAACTGGGAGACGAGATGGACAGGGTTAGCTGGCTAGTAGCATCCTTTTAGAATAAGATGCTTACATACCGCACCCTTCAAAAAACTCTCTCTCAGAGATTGGGCTTTCAGTTTATATGACTTTAATCAGATCTTTATAGCTGGATTCACACTGCTATGCTGTGTGGACTTGAATGTCTGTGACTTCTGAACTAAAGGTTTCCTTCTTTGACTTTTCTTAGGCTTCACTCACTGAGATTTAACTCAACCAGTTACAGGATTTCTGCATCCAAAGCTTCTGTGACCTCAAAGTCATGTTTACAGAACTGAGACTCCAATCTGCAACAAACATTATAATTAGCATTATTATTCATTTTCTGGGACATTATGACTAATATTTACAAATTAAATACAAAGAAATACAATCATTAATTAAAATAACTGATAAGAGCAGCTGGACTGTATCTAGTCCTATACAATAAGCTATACTGAGTAATATCTTTCAACCTAAAGCATCAACATATCCTCATATATCGTAACATCAGCTGTTCCACTCACCGTATCCCACAGTGGGGAGGCCCAGGTGCTTCATGCGATTCTTGACCAGCTCGGACAGCTCCTGTCGCTCGGAGCGCCGATACAGATTCAGTCTCTGCTGTGAGATGCGCTCCGCTCTGGTCGACGGTTTGACGTTCTTCCTGCTCAGCCGCCGAGCCCACTGCATGCTCTTCTTCCTTAGCAGCGGGTGCTCCGATTGGTCACTCGTGGTGGAGTTTCTGTAGCCCGTCTTCTCCTTCCAGGATCCTCCACGATCACGGTGCTCCTCACCCTGCTCCACGTTGATGGACACCTGAGACTGGAATGGTAAGATGGAAATGTGAATGCTGGATTTTGTGAGGAAAGCGTGCACTATAAGAATAAGAAGCAAACAAACTTTTGATATTAAAAAAAAAAAAATACCAGTAAGGTATTTTTTTTTTTACTTTGCCTGCTTTAAGCAAAAAGGAGTCAGCTGACGTAATAAACAGAATCAAGCCTGTTTGGATCTTACCTGTGCATTACTGTCCCTGCACTGGAATACAAGGACAGACAGACATCCAAACAAAAAGAGATGCAATGAAAGATGAGGGCATTCAGAGCAAACAAATGTTCGAAGCCTTAAACATCAGCATATGGAAGCTTACATATGCTGTATTTAATATTTTATTTATTCATAACTGTATTAATAGCAGTATGTGAGAGTCAGTCAAAAATATAAATCTAATTTCATTGCTTGACATGAATTTCTGTCAGCTGGAATGTATCTGTATTAAGAAATGAATGGTAAATGTGCAGCCTCAAACAAAGGAAAGGCAATTTAGGGAATAGGAAATACAAGCTGAAGAATAAGCAAGAGTATCAAAGGAGAAGGACTCAAGCAAAAACTAAAGGAGGGAATGATTAATAGATGGTAGCTGAATTCAAACCGCAGGCAAAAGCTGACACCAAATCCAAGACCAGGACTCAGATACTGAGTATCTGATCAAAGTGAACTTGCCTCTGAGGTTGAGAACATATGCGACTCGGTCCGGTAGATCCCGATGGGAATCTCAGCGCTGGAGGAGCAAAGTTTCTGGAAGAGTCTGCCGTAGGTCCTGATCCACAGGTCCTCCTCTGTGATCTTCATCTGAAGTGAGAGATTGACGATAAAGTTGCTGCACATCACAGATGAAATTACTAAAATGCACCAATCACTTGGTAAGATGCAAAAGTAAATTTCCACATACAGCACATAGGTACCCAGAACCAGGCGTGGTGTCCAGACCAAGGAGAAGCCTGATGATGGCAATCATGTAGTCCTTGACAAATGACTGTGGTTTAAAAAAAGAAGTTTAAAAGCTTTCGCAAACACATTTTGCAATTGCTCTGAGGGGAAGTTTTCTTTATAACACCTGCAATAAATTATTTTATCCTGTGCATTATGCTCATTAATATTTAATGGCACAAATGTTCTTTTGTAGGCTATTCATTTGAGGCTTAAACACGTAAAAAAAAAACCCCACATTTACTTTAGACAATAAACTGCACCTTACTAGGAAATACTGATGTAACAGCCGTTACCTTTTTAGACACAACTTTCAGACAGAGGAACTAGTGAAGCACAAATTCTAAGGATGAAATCGCTGACAGACAGGTCTATATTTAACTATTTCATAATGAACTAGTTCAAAGTCTGTTATCCCACCTGGTAAAGTAGTGTATCCAGCATGCTGATACTGAACACTCTGCCTGCAGCAAACGGCAGCCGGAACATGAAAGCCAGGTTGGAGCCCTTATCACGCTCTATCTGGAAGCAAAAAACAAAATACAAACAAAAAAAAGGAGCCAAAAAAAGATTTAAGAAAGAGTGGGGATACATACAAGCTTTATCTGTTAGTAACGATGATTTAACTGCATTAAACAAATGCATTCATTCACAAGAGGCCTGAAGTGTGACAAAAATTATTAATGGGTTTATTTGATTTCCTGGAAAGTAAGCTAACTCTTTAAATGTCATATAAACTCACCTGACCATGTTGTTTAGTACAGCTGTTAAACTAACTGTTAACACAAAAATCTATTTGGCTGATTGAAGCAGCAACACTCAGTGATTTTAGGCATGTAGACATGGTCAAGAGACCTGCTAAAATTCAAACTGAGCAGGAGAATGGGGAAGAAAGTTGACTTTAAATGTGGTGTGGGTATTGCTACCAGATAGTTTGGTCTGAATATTTCAGAAACTGCTGATCCTGCACAACCATCTCTAGGGTTTATACAGAATAATCTGAAAAAGAGAAAAATGGCTCATTGATACCAGAATTCAGAGGAGGATGGCCACGCTGCTTCATAGGAAGGCAACAGTAACTCAAATGACCAGTTGTTACAACCAAGGTATGCAGAAAAGCTTCTCTGAATGCACAACACAACAAAATGTGAAGATGATGGGCTACAGCAGCACCTTGTGCCCCTATCGACAGTTAAGAACAGATTTGTGGTGAAGCTAAACCAAAAAAAGCATATTGAAAAAAAACACTGCCTGGTCTGATTAGTCTGGTTTTCTGTTGCAATGGTGATGGTGTGCTCAGAAAATGGGTGTAAAGAACATAAATGCATAGATCCACCTGCTTTGCATTAACATATCAGACTGGTGTGGTGGTATAATGGTGTGAAGGATATTTTTTGGGACACTTTGGCACTTTAGTACCAGCTGAGCATCATTTAAAAGCCATAGCCTGCTGTATCATTGCTGACCATGCCCATCCCTTTATGACCACAGCGTAACCATGTTCTGACGGTTGCTTCCAGAACATGGACACACCATGTCACAAAGCTCAAATTATCTCAAACAAGGCAAAGACTTCACTGTACTCAAATGACTTCCACAGCCACCAGATCTCAATCCAATACAGCACCTTTGGGATGTGGTAGAACAGGAAATTGTCATCATGGATGTGCAGCCAAATCTGTAGCAGCTGTGTGAATCTATGCCACGAAGAATTACAGCAGTTCTGAAAGCAAATTGGGTCCAACTTAAAACTAGCAAAGTGTACACAAAAATTGGCCAGATGAGTTTATACAGTGCAAAAAGGTAAAAAAAAAAAGAAGAAGACTTCATAGGCTGCAAGTTATAATGCACAACCCAAAGTGCTTACACTTCTCTTTGGGATACTGAGATATTTTTTGATTGTCCAGAAAATAAAACGATCTAAGTCAAAGACACTGAACACGAAACACTCACCTTCTCCAGTTTGGAGAGTGCGAGTGAGTAGCAGTCCTTGGCTCTGAACTGCATGAACCTCATGTTGGATGGATGCGTGAGCTCAGTGATGATGCTGAGACTGGGGAACAACCTGAGTGTGGAGGAAATAAAGTGAGAGGGATGTCAGTGGAAAGACAAAATGCTTTGTGTTGAGAGAGACATGGTGTGGCAGTGATAAATGCTTTTAATTTTAGTTGCTAAATAAATGAGCAGTTTCACAGCTTTGGCAGCTGTAGTTTGTCTTTGAGATGAGCTCTGCCTTTCTGTAAACCCCCTCTAAAAGCTTATATTTGCTCTTTGCCTTTGCAGTAAGAACAGACAAAGACATTAATTATGTGAATCTGGTGCACACTTGGGCCAAAATCAGAATCTTGACTCATACATAACAAGGGTGAGCTCGCACAAGGCGATCTATGCTGTGGTCAAAAACATTAGACTCCCCAAAATTCACTGTGTTAACTGTGATTGCCGTACTCTGGTTTTGTTAGACGTGGGCATGTTAACAAGAGCTAACGAGAACTCCAACATGTTCTCAACGACAGCTGTCTCTGTGAAAAATGCTTTAGTACAGTAGTCAACAAGCATGTGACACCTCTTCCCCAACCGAGGCACAAAATACATAAAACCATGAACCTTTTTCTCTGCAAAGTGAGAAAGACAGAGGCCAAGCGCACAAAGAGGAGAGAAGCTGAGATGATGAGACAAACTTAATGAACTTGTTCCTGGATCAATAAGATGAGTGGGGGAGTGAGAACAATTGAGACTGGTGGGAGGACACCTTTGAGTTTCTACTCAGTAAAGCACACTCTATGTTACCTGAACATTGTCTGGACATTGACGATGGTCTTGGCATCTGCCATGTAGTCTTCCTCAGCACTCATAGTGCTCTCCTTGTCCACAACGACCAAGTTGTCAGCATAGATGATACCACACTGCAGCAGGTTGTCCAAGCTGTCCCATTCAGAAAGCAGCAGTGATTATTAGGTTATGACATGTTAGAAAACGGTAAATATAAGAGTAATATAGTAAATACAACCCCAACTCCAAAAAAGTTGGAATCATGTAAAATTTAAAAACAGAATTCAATGACTTGCAAATCTGATAAACCTGTATTCACTAAAGAATATATAAAACATATAAAACAAATGTGTGAACTGAGACATTTTCCTATTTCATGAAAAATATTAGTCAAGTTTGAATTTGAAGGAAGCAACACCTTTCAAAAAAGTGTGAATGAGAGAAACAGCTGGAAGAACATTTTGCAACTAATTAGGCTAACTGGCAACAGATCGGTAACATGATTTGATATATATTTTAAAAAAAGAGCATTGTGGAATAGTAAAGGGTAGAGGTTCACTAATCTGCAAAAAACAGTGCTTATAAATTTAGGAAATATTTCATAATAATGTTTCTCAATATGTTCCTGTGAATATCTCATCATCTACAGTACATAATATCATCAAAACAGCAAAAATTTATAATGGATGTTCGTGGTCTTCGGACCCTCAGGCGGCTGTCATGGAGATGCCTGCATGGCCTCAGGAACACTTCCAGAAATCTTTGTCTGTTAAAATAGTTCACCAGGTTAAACCTCTGTGATGCAAACATGGATGCTGCGTCCTCTGAACTAAAGAGCAGAGGGACCACCCTGCTTGTTATCAGAGCTCCATTCAAAAATATGCACGTCTCTATGTAGTGTGGTGCACATTAGTGCAAATGCAATTGTCAGCATGCATATCTTTGATGCCACTATCAATGCAGAATGTTACATACAGGTTTTACAGGCTACACAGAGTTACATAGAGTTTTACAGACTGAGCAGATGCAACATGGAGGTAAACACGGCCCTGTTCCAACATTTTTGAGATGTGTTGCTCCCATCAAATTCAAATTGAGCTGATTTTTTTATGGCACATTTCTCTTATTTTAAACATTTTAATGTTGCTTCTTTTAGACAGAAATTGGATTTAAACAAATCCAAGATAACCAAAATTTCCAAATCTGCATCGACCAAGAAGGTGAGGAGTTAACTAAGTGGATTTTTATGCATGAATAAATTATAATGGGCTGGACTGCAAAAACAAGTTTTAGATAGAGGTTAGTGGTTACTAAATATATTTATTTTTTGTCAGAATTGACGTGCACTACCATGCACATTCAACATACCCAGGATATATTTCTGTTGTCTGGCTTACCCTACATCTAACATCAAGAACTAGACAAAGTAGTTGCATGAAAGGTTTTATCAACTCGATAGATTAAACTGGGGTTTAACCATCTAGTTATTCGTATGTTCACATGAGACGACCGGCACTGGCAGCATCTGACAGGCCTGACCGTCTGATGGACGAGTCTACTGGTAATTTTGGAGGTTAAACACACAATGCTGGCTGAAAGCAACACAGCTGCAACAGACAAATTAGTGGTGTGAGCATCTAACGGGAAAACACTATAGAGTAGTTTAGTAAGAAACGTGCTTCTACAAATATGCTTTTAGTGATGGTAAGTATATTAATAAAGTCTAGCCATAAACCCAGAAAGCAAAACCAACAAAAATGCTGACTGTAAGCAGCATTACATAGTCAGCACTTTAAGACATGGAGGAAGCTGAGATTCTTACTGTTATTTCATTAAATAATATGTAGATGTGCATAGTAAAGTTTGAGTTTTTATTCTTTTAGCTGCGGCACCATGGCGATTAATGAAAAGAAAGAAATCTAAAAACAGAAGTCGAATGTGGTTATAAACAATTTGATACAAGTTCAAGAAACAGGTCTCCTGTTTTTTATAAATTTAAGTTTTTAGAATAATTATTGTAAAACTGTTTGCAGTCAACATTTAAAAACTTAAGTTGCTTCTAAGAATATTTTCCAGAGAGCTGATTGGTCAGTTGGCGGGACTTTCGTGCCTGTTGCTCTCGTCTCGAGTACAACCTGCCCCGAAGCAGGTTAGATCTTCAGTATAAGTTACCATGGTGATGCACACCAGTAAGAGGTGAACTACCTTCATGAAACTGAAAACCAGAGTTACAAATCCAGCTTCGTAGTACACGCCTTTGGTTTACGGGACTGAATAAACGCAGCACATCTTCAACTGCATGTTTTCCACTTGTTTTTTTTCCATGACTCAACTAAAAGAATCATATTTGCAGAACTAAAAGTTAGGTTTCAATGTACAGTTGTCTCCATAAAGCTATTATTTTTGTTAATGTTTAGACTATAATGCTATGGTGACTCCCTCTTTACATTGTTCATTCATTTTTGTTTGCAAAGAAGCCATTTTTTCTTGACAGCTTAATTACACATTAGTGAAGTTTTTAAATCACTAGGTTCAAACTAACTACCACTTGCTTTCCCTGCTTCAGTCAAACACTGAGTGCTTGCTTTGTTCCAGCTCAAAAATCTGCAAGTAACAGCTGCAAGATGCACGTTTGAACGTCACTGACAAGCATCTTTGTCTTCTTCCTCAGGTAACACAGAAAAGATTAAAATGATTAAAAAATGTATTATATAGTTTGAAATCAAACTGCTACATTTGATTCAAATGTGCCTATAAAACACAAAATCACATCAGCAGCAAATGTGTTCAAGAGCCATTAAAGATTACAGTGCATTTAAGTTGTTGTGTAACTGTGATGTCCAAGATGTCCTGGAGCTGTACTTCTGCTGGCTGGATGAAAAATTATTTCATACATTAAGCTAGGTGATTAACCGAGTGCGTTTTCTTTTATAATATAAACACTTACTTATCAATTGTGCCGGCCATGAAGTAAACCATTGGAAAGCAGCAAATGGCCTCTAAGAAATGGTTGTCTGGCCTGCAGGAAACGGGAAACATGAATTGAGCATCCCACACTAATTATCTTTGTAAACCCCAGTGACAGATTACGAAACTGTACAAGTAATTTCCTGAAATCTGCCTGTTGATGAGGGCAGGAAAGATTTGTTTGAATTCATTATGGATTAAGAGAGAAATAAATAGTTCAATGCATTTGGAGGATTTATAAAAAACTGCCTGACATTTAAATTCCTGAGGGGGCCACTTTGTTTTCCTGGCCCTGTGTTTTTATCGTTCATCTGTTTCAGCAAACTGCAGAAATGAGGTCAAAGTTAATGAAGCCCGCAGTGGGTTAGAGCAGAAAAAATGGACCGCTGCAACATGCATGCACAAAAATATACATGCCCTAACATACAAACACTGCAGACGTCTATGAATAATGCAACAAAAGAAGAGAAAAAAG